TTGATTAGTGTGTGACCTTTTATTCTAAGTATAATCTAAGAGTCACAAAACTTTCATAATTATTTTCATGAAAGGTTTTTTATGATACCTAATATTACTGTTAAGAAAAACTTTATAATGATACAGAAGATTTTAGGCTTCTTTAATGCAAAAAGGAGAGAGAAACTAGTTATCTTCTTACTTCTTTTATGTTTTTTTGTTCTTTTTTTGTTTTTTTGCCTTCATTTGAGAGAATAGTTATATATATTGGGGTATGGTTAATTGCAGGATTGTTAAGGTGTGGAAAGAGTTGTAGGCTGAGGTGGACAAACTATCTTAGGCCAGACCTGAAGAGGGGTCTCTTATCAGAATATGAAGAGAAGATGGTTATTGATCTCCATGCTCAACTTGGAAACAGGTTTTTATATTAACACACACTCTCTCTCTCTCTCTCTCTACCAATTCCCTTAAAAATATTCTTCTTTTGTCTCCACCTTGTCTTCCCTTTTGCTTCTTCTTCTTCTCTTTCTAATTAATGAATGGCTCAATGTCTGTTGCATTATGTCACTGATTGATAATTCATTAAAGGACTTTCTATTGTATAATTTTCCTTCAAGGAATGCCTCAAATGGCAGACAAAGAGCTACACAAGGAATAAATCCTCTTTGTTTATTTTTTTTTAAGGAAAATATATATATATATATATATATGCACACACAGCTCTCCTCTCTGTCAATGATAAGCAACAGTTTAAAATTACTTTCACTGATTAGTTTTCCAAATAAAGTAAAGGGTAAGTCTGTCCCATAACTTTTTTAAGAAAATTCTTTTCAGGCAACTTGCTCACTGGTTAAAACTCATGTTAAGGTTGTAGGTTGGAAGATACCATGACTACTTTGGGGTAACTTTGTACAATTTATGCCAAAATCAAGTTTTTACCAAATCTATTCCTCTCAACCCCATCCGAAATACACCCCAAAATTTTCTTTGCATATTCATATGAATCATACTCTAATAGTAGGTGTGTCAAGAAATGCTTTTGGTATGTTTGGAAGGACTCTACTTTTTCTTGGACCATTGTAGTGGTGGCCATTAAAAGCTTATAAATTCATTTGATTTTTTTGCAGATGGTCCAAGATTGCTTCTCATCTCCCTGGAAGAACTGATAATGAGATCAAAAACCACTGGAATACCCACATCAAGAAAAAGCTGAGAAAGATGGGGATAGATCCTCTCACCCACAAGCCACTTCCTACTACTCCAACTCATGATCATCAATTCCAACAACAACCACACGATCAACAACAGGAACAATCACTACCAGAGCCAGTGCCATCTCTATCTGAAGTGGGTCAAAACAAGGAAATAGAGACGATATTATTTGAGTCATCCATTACTGACACTGAGGCCAAAGAGGAAGGCCCATTTAACTCTATGGAAGTCAATAATGGCTTTTCCACAGATGAAGTCCCACTGATTGAACCCCATGAAATTAATCTTGTACCTTGTGTTCCCTCAGTCCCACTGATTGAACCCCATGATATTAACCTTGTACCTTGTGTTCCTTCATCATCATCACCATCATCATCATCAACAATAACCTCTTCATCATCATCATCATCATCGTCATCATCATCATCTTCTTCTTCATCTTCTTCCTCCCACTTTTCTTCATCCAACATATTGGAGGAATTGGAGTTGCCAACTTTTGAATGGGGCATGGGTTTCTGGGATGATGACTTTAGCAATGCTTTGGATTTGTTGATCAGTGGTGCTGATAACTGGAATGCAACTGTTGAACCTCTTCCCCCTCCCACTCCCACCCAGTACCCAACAAGAATGGTTCTTGATCAAGAATCTTAGAGCTCTTGTGATTTGTAAAATTCTTGTCTTGGGCTTCTTTGTAATTTGCTTGTCAAGGAGCTAGGTAAAAAGTCCAACCATTGTATTTGTTACCCTTTTTTTTTTTTTTTTAACTGTATTTGAATTATAAATTTGAATAATAGTTTAAAATATATATATATATATATAGGTAAAAGTATAAATAAAACATAGTTACATTCCACCTATCTTATTTTTTTATTTTTTTTTTATTTTTTTTATAATTTTTTTTCTTAAATTTATAATTTAAACACAACCTTAAAGCTCACACTGGTGTAGGCAAAAAATTTACGCAAAATTAGACATAAATGCTAATTATAACTGTATTTAATTCATCTCTTTACTTCATCTCCTGTATATTTATATAATAAATACTATATATGTGGGGCCATGATATCTAAGAAATGGTGAAATTTATCATACCAAATGGGAAGATGCATATATAGGAAGTAAAAGAAATTTAATGACAAATTTACCAGCCTTTTTTTGAATATATGCCATGTTTGTTTGTAGAAAGTGAGATTGAATTAATAATACATGAAACCTACTAAAATCATATTTGCTTATGATAGAATAGAATAACGTAGGACTAACCGTGTACGAAATCTCCCAAAAGGTGTGATTAGTATTCCTTTGGAAGGGTTGAATTTGTAAATCAATCTTATAAAATTAGAACTAAAAATGCTATTTGGGGTTTTTGAGATCGGATTGAAGCGTGTTGTTGGATTTATGAGGGGTCATCACGGGTCATGTTTCAATGATCCGAATCGTTTAATGTGTAGAATTCGCCGATTATTTCATTCTTACAAAAAATTATATTAATTAGATATCGATAGCCACTTAAAATCTTACAATTAGTGATCTTACAATTTGTTATATATGTCGCTAAAAATTGACAATTAATGACTTTTTTTGTCATGATTTTTATCAATTATCTCTAAATCTTACAATTAGTGATCTTTTTTTATGACCAATTTTTTTCCCATAGGGCCTATCAGACAATAAGTCCACTTATTAAGACTTACACGCAAGTTTGTCTTAATTAAATACTATTTTTCTCAATGGCAAATATGATTTTTAAAATAAATTGTTGACATAAATCGAATCCGATTAAGTAGCTATCGATATCCGATTAACGTGATTTTTTATAAAAATAAAATACTCGACGAGCTCTATATATTGAATGGTCCGAATTATCGAAATAGGACCCGTGGTGGGCCTCATAGGCCCAAACAGCATGGTCCAAAGAATCTATTTCGAAATTATTTACAAAAATAACAAATTTATATTTTATGTGATGAGAACTTTTTTTTGGTAATGGTGGAAACAAGTCTTTGTTTTGGAAGTAAAAGTTGGGGTTTTTTTTTTTATATAACTATTTTAGCTAAAAAAAACAAAATAGGCTTTTTAACCCAATAAGACAAAACAACACATTCAACCCATAATCATTGCATTCTTCCTCTCACAAAAAAAATCAAAAAAACCTAAAATCCTTCTCAAATTAGACTTTTTATATAGCGATCCCGGTTGTCCCTTTACTGTTCAGTTGTACTCTGGACTCGGTTCCGTGGAGTTGGTAGTTGTATCTATCATGTTGTCGTCCTTTAAATCCATTTGTTTGAGTTTTAGGATGTGTTAGGCTTGGTTGTTACAGGTTGGTAGAGCTTTGACTCCCATTGTTGTTGCCTAGTTTTTGAATGGTCCGCTCGAGCAGGTCATTTTGCGCTCAAGCGGGGTTTACACCCTTCCAGCATTTCGTGTCCTTGCAAAACTTCTGCAGGTGTGTTTTCTACGCTCGAGCGAGTTTCTTGCGCTCGAGCGGGTCACGCTTGAGCGGGTTTGTTGGCGCTCGAGCAGGTAGTTCTTTTTCTAAAAAGTTCTAGGAGATGAAAATCTACGCTCGAGCAGACTGGTTCTTCGCGCTCGAGCGGATGTGTTTTGCTTTTGTTTCTTGGTGCTTGAGCGGGACTTCTTGCGCTCGAGCAGTTCCAGATTTATGTGCTTGACGCTTGAGCATTCTATTCTACGCTCGAGCGGGTCATACGTATATGAGTCATCAGCTGGGTAATTTTAGATCACTTTTTACATTTCCTTTCTCTCTCTTACTTTCCCAAAATCGATTTTGAGAGCCTTTCTCTCTAGGATCTCCCTTCTCTCTAAGGTTTGATCTAGTTAGAGTGTCCCCCTATCCTTCGGTCTTTGTGAAAAGTGTGTTGATCGTCGAGGGCTTCGTTTTGATCCGAGGATCTTGGTATTTGGAGCATTTTGGTTTTCTTCAACTTCCCCGTTTGAGCTCTAACTTTGAGGTAGAGATATCCTACTCCTCTTTATGAACTTTGTCTTTGAATTTTAGCATTTTGATATGTTGGGGGTTGTTGGCTAATTTTGAGAAAGTTTGGGTCTTTGTGTGATTTTACAAAAGATGGGGTTTTATTTATAATAAACCTATATGCATGTTTAGCATGGAGAAATGAAATAAATGATGGGTTATTGATAGAAATGAAACCTTAGGGTTGTTTTGTTAATTATGGGAAATGCCCTAATTACTTTGATAAATTAATTTGTGAAATTAATTTGAGAAATAAGAAATTGAATTGAGAATGTTGGAATTTGGAATGTATGGGATTAAAGGGTGTTGTTGGGTTATTTATCACTCACCTAATTGAAATGTTGATTTTATATCTATTTGGCACATTTATTTTCTGTTTAGAAATAACTGCTTGGGCTATCGGTGGAGAATAGTCTTGATTGTTGTAGACAATGCATGATGATTAGGCAAACAAAAACTAATCGATTGAGTATGCTATCGGATATAGTGGATGGAATAATACATTAACTTTATGTATGGATTGGTTGTATATGATCTATGTTTATATACATGTGTTGTGTGGGAGGAGATAGGGGATGTACTCCACGGTTTAAGGGAAGATAGGGGATGGACCTCTAAACCGGATTTTGTTCGACATTAATACAGCACTACAATGTGTATCAAGTGTGAATTATGGAAGTGTTTGAATTGATTTGATATAGCACTAAAATGTATATCGTTATCAATTGTGAAGTATAGAAGTGTTTCTATGTTGTATTGATACAGCACCAAAATGTGTATCGTTCGTAAAGTATGGAAGTGGTTTATGTGTTATTGATACAGTATCAAAATGTGTATCCATCATGAGTTTCGAAAGCGTTTTAAAGATGAGTCTCAATCTCATTAAGCTATTTGGCCCGGTTCTGAGCCTTGTTTTCAAACTCAAAGTTGAAAAAGAAGTGGGAAATGAAATGTAACATGGACTTGAATGTCATGAAATTGTAATGTGATAAGTGGGAATATAAGTGTGGACCATCTATCAAATGCTGTTATTTTAGTCATTGTTTATAGTTGGTTTAGTATATTTCTACTAGGCTATGGCTCACCCTATATGGGATATCATTTTCAGGTACAGGTAGCATGCCACCTCCAAGGACATAGTTTGGGAGGCTAGAGGCAGACAGACTTTTGTCATTTTGTTATCCTTTGGATGTATTACATGTAAATTCAAGTCAAGGGGTTAATGTGTATTTGAGTTAGTACTCTTTTTTGTAACCAAGTGTTAACTTGGAAAGCTGTAAGCCCGTAGGGCATTTGCTTTTGTTACTAACATGTAATACTCTTTGCAATGAACTACTCTGATGAATAGAAGAATGTCTATCTCTTACATCAATGCATGTCAATATTGATGGGTTTAATGTTATTATTTTGAGGGTGTTACATGTTATCGATGTGGTGAGCTGGGTCACAAGTCCATTACATGTCCACGGAGGGGTAACCAACAACATCAGCCTTCTACTCGTCCTTAAAATCAAACCTTAGGTGGAGGTTAATCAGTCGTTTGCTATTAATGTGGCCAACCGAGTCATATGAAAAAGTTTTGTCCCCAGATTGTCGGAATGGCTAGTGCTTCAAGGTTTCAAGTAGGGTAGAGCCAGAGACAGACTTATCAGCCAATTAAGTCTGGACAGGCATCTAAACTTGTATATGTGGCTACCTTCGCGCAGTTTGTGCAACATACCTATTATCAGAGGGGTGAGCAGAGTGAACAGAGACCCCAAGGAAGAGTCTATGATGTCATCGCATCGAAACAATCGACCGGGCCAATGGTGATGTGAGGTACATATCTTGTATACAATATTTGGGCCAATGTATTGATAGATACGGGGGCATCTCACTCACTCATAACATCTACATTTGCATCTATGTAGGGGTTAGAGGCTAAACCATTAGAATTTTCTCTTGTGGTAGAATTACCGGTTTGGGGTAAGATGGTATTGAACCATGGGTGTCGCCGGTCTGTAATTGAAGCTACTGTTCGCTAACTTCTTTTTAGTTTGGTGTTGTTAGATATGACAAATTTTGATGTTATCCTCTGTGTGGACTAGTTGTCCTCTTATCGTGTTGCAATAGATTGTTATCGTAGAAGAGTTACAGTGTGTACGGTTGAGAATGACTATTTTTATTTTATAGGGGATAGAATTGATAGTCTTTTAATGTCATCATATGACTCTCGTAGTCAAGGAAAATTCATTTCCCTTTGTGCAATTTGATGAGTGACGGGAATAGTGAAGCACAAAGGGTATTCCCTAGGGTAGTTTATGAATATTTAGATGTCTTTCTAGAGGTCCTCACCGAGCTACCACCACATCATGAGGTTGAGTTTTCTATAGACCTAGTGCCGGGTACGACACCCATTTCTATGTCACCCTACAGATTCGCTCCGGCAAAGTTGCTGGTTTCGAAGGAGCAATTACAAGAATTATTAGACAAGAGTTTTGTACGCCCTAGTACTTCACCCTGGGGAGCACCAGCTCTCTTTACCAAGAAGAAGGATGGTTCATTAAGGCTATGCATTGATTACCGTAAGCTGAATAGGGTCACCGTTAAGAATAAGTACCCATTGCCTAGAATAGATGATCTTTTTGACCAACTTAAAGGCTTTTAGTGTTTCTAAAAGATAGATCTAAGATCAGGTTATCATCAGTTACGTGTGAAAGAAGAAGATATTCCAAAGACAACCTTTCGTACTTGATATGGCCACTATGAATTCCTTATGATGCCAT